AGTTCAACTCACAACTATTGATTAAAAAGTTATATAATGTGGATCAAATTCATTGAATTTATTAGTTTAAATGAAAGTTAATCTAACGAACAAATGTTTTAAAAACATCAAGATTTCGAATACTTCTTTAATTGGAGGAAATTTTGCCAGATGCAATTTAAGTGGGTCTGAATTTGAAAATGTTGATATAAGCGGATTGAATTTAAATGGTGCTTAATTGTTTAATTGTAAATGGAAAAACTTAAGAATCCATGAGCTACATAAATTAGAAGGTACAACTAGTTACGTCTACTCAGTATGTTTCTCGCCGGATGGAACAACCTTAGCATCTGGTAGTGCAGATTAATCCATCTGTTTATGGGATTGTTAGACAGGATAATTAAAAAAACTTTTGGATAGTCATTGTAATTGTATTAGCTCAATCTGTTTCTCACCTGATGGATCTATCTTAGCATCTGGGGGCGTTGATTATTCTATCCGTTTTTGGCATGTTAAGACAGGTTAATAAATTGCCAAATTGGATGGCCATACTAGTTATGTCTAATCAATATGTTACTCACCTGATGGAATTACTTTTGCATCTTGCAGTGATGATAACTGTATACGTTTATGGGATGTAAATACCAGAAAAAAAAAAGGTTAATTGAATGGTCATAGTGATAATGTCAGATCAGTATGCATCTCTTCTGATGGAACTACCTTGGCATCTAGCAGTAATGATTCCTCTATTCGTTTGTGGGATGTTAAGACAGGGAAATAAAAAGTAAAATTGGATGGACATGTTGGAACTGTCTATTCAGTTTGTTACTCACCTGATGGAACTATATTAGCATCTGGTGGTTATGATAAATCTATCCGTTTATGGGATTTAAAGACAGGAGAATAAAAAGTGAAATTGAATGGTCATACTAGTTATGTATACTCAGTATGCTTCTCACCTGACGGAAATGCCTTAGCGTCTGGTAGTTATGATAAGTCTATTTGTTTATGGGATGCCAATACAGGAGAATAAAAAGCCAAATGGGATAGTCATGATCACTGGGTTCTATCAGTATGCTTCTCTCCTAATGGAACAATCTTAGCATCTAGTAGTTATGACAAGTCTATCCGTTTATGGGATGTTATGGCATGTTAGTAAAATGTAAAATTGGATGGACATATTGGAACTGTCTATTCAGTATGCTACTCACCTGATGGAACTACTTTAGCATCTGGTAGT